CAGTCTCGTTTGCAAAAGAGTGATCCAAAACAGTGCCATGCTATGGAAATTTCTGGGTGAAGATGGAGATAGTTCTACATGTGTGTCATGCAAGCGGATAGCTATGACACACATGAAGTTACTGTGCCCTTGAAATGTATCCAGAGTAGTTGAGGAACTGGCTTTTTAAATTTGAATATTAAAATTTTTAGTAGCATATAATAATTGTACATAGTAATGAGTTTTGTTATGACTTTTTTTGTTTATTTGGTTTTGAGGCAGGGTGACATGGCCGCAGATTTTCCATAAAACCGAAACTGGCCTTGGACTGGCCTTGATCTTCCTGCCCACACCTTCCAAGTACTGGGCTTGCAGGCATTCACCACCTTAAGGGCAAATTTTGTTGTTTGCTTCTTGATTGCTTTTTGAGAGGGAGCAACTAGATTGCCCAAACTGGTTTGAATAGAATTTATAATCCTCCTGCTTTGGTCTCCTGAATTCTGGGATTACAGGTATATCCCACATCAATGGCTCTCATGACATTTTTTTGTGTATGTATAACATACTTTGGTGTATTGACATCTCTCCCAATTAGTGTTAGTTACTTTTATATAGTGACTACTATATTTGTCAGTATAGGTCTGGAATTCTTGTCATGCTTACAGAATATTCTTGGGTATTTGTTTGGGATTGTGTGGGTGTGGGTGTGTGATTTTGTTTGTTTGTTTGTTTTTGAGACAGGGTCTTACTGTATAGCCCAGACTATCTTTAAATTCTCTTCCCTCACCTTCCAAATGCTGTGGTTACAGGTGGGCACCACCATGCCAGGTTTAACATTCTGATATTCCCCTTAGGAAAGAAAGTCTTTTCATCCTGTTCTGCAGTCTTCCAAATCCACATTACAGACCACCAAGGGCATCAATGCATAGGAAATGAAGTTCAGATTCCTTCTGTCCTTGTCCAGAAGACTTTCTGTATAGATATCAGGGTTTTTTCAATTTACATTTATTTAGTGTGTATGTGTGCGTATGGGAGGATGGCATGTGAGTAGTGGTTAAAGGACAATTTGCTAAAGTCGGTTCCCTCCTTCCACCATGTGGGCTCAATTTTTTTTTCAAGGATAAAAAGCAAGATTTTGCTGGTGTGACTGAAACATGCCTATAATCCCAGCATTTAGGAGATTGAGGCAGGAAGATCAGTAGTTTAAAGTCATCTTTGGCTACATAGTGAGTTGAGTTTGAGGCTGTTCTGGGCTATGTGAGATTCTGTCTCAACAAACAACAACAACAATAATAATAATATTAAAAACCTTTTAATCCCAGCACTGGGGAGGCAGAAGAAGGTGGATCTCTGTGAGATCAAGGCCAGCCTGGTCCACATAGTGAGTTCCAAGCCAGCTGTGGCTACAGGGAGACCCTATCTCAAAAAAAAAAATAAATAAACAAGAAAATAACTCCAAGATTATTGTCAGGGATGGAGGTGGGATATGCCACTTGTCTAAGGGCACAGACAATATGGATGTTTGTTCATGAGTTAATATGCACCAATAAACTTAATACGTCTCTTAGTAAACACAAACACACATATTCACCATTAAGTTCTTTTAATATGTGCTCTTTGACAAAGCCAAATGGGGGGAGCTGTAGAAATTAACCAATGTGTTAGCTGGGCATGGTGGCGCAGGCAGATCTTTGTGAGTTCAAGGCCAGCCTGGTCTACATAGTGAGTTCCAGCTCAGTTGAGGCTATAGGGAGACCCTGTCTCCAAAAAAAACTAAAAAAAAAGAAGAAAAGAAAAAGAAATTAACCAATGTGGCTCATATTTAAGGATAACTAATTAATTGTGGAGAGAACCAATAGGTTCCTCTAACCAACATACAAGATCCCTAAGTTCCAGGGTATGCCAGAGTTACAAGAAAAGAGGCCAAGGCTGGGCATTGGTGGTGCATGCCCATATTTCCAGCACTTGGAAAGCTGAGTCAAAAGGATTGCCAAAAGTTCGAGGTCAGTCTGGGCTATATAGCAAGACTTTTATTTTATTTTTATGTTTTTATTTTTTGTTTAGTAACTTTAGTTTTTGTGTATCAGTATATTGCCTGCAAGTGGATAAGTGCATTGGTGTTGTGCGATGCCTGTGGAGGTAAGGGTGTTGGATTTCCTTGGAACTAGAAGGACAGTTGTTAGCCACCATGGGCATGCTGGGAATTGAATCTGGGTCCTCTGCAAGAGCAGCAGTACTCTTAACCTCTGAGCCATATCTCCAGCCCTATGGTGGTTTGAATGAAAATGTCCCCCATAGGCTCCAAGTATTTGGACATTTTGTCCCCAGATGATGATGTTGTTTTGGAAGGTCTTAGAAGGTGTGGCTATCCTGGAGGAAGCATGCCACTGGGCGTGGACTTAGAGAGTTCTTAAGCCTTGCCGGATCTCCAGTTGCCCTCTTGTTTCCTGTGCCTGCTGGAAGATGTAGAGCTTAGCTTCTGCTCCTCCTCCAGCCACCTCTGCCTCCATGCCTCCCTGCCAGCCAAGACAGACTATAATTCCCCTGGAACCTTAAACTCAAATAAACTCTTCTGTCTGTAAATTGCTTTGGTTAGTGTTTCTATCCTAGCAACAGAAAAGTGACTAAAGTGACAGTAATTGGTACCAGAAGTGGGGTGTTGCTGTGAAGAACCTGACCATGTGGAGTTTTGGAGGAATGTGGGAGACTTTGGAAGTTTGGGCTAGAAAAGTGGTTGATTGCTGTAAGCAGAGCTTAACAGGCCATGAAAGAAAGGCCTCTGGAAGAAAGTAGTGCTGAGAACAATGTAGTTCCAGAGGGAAATAAGGACTTAAGCAGCACCTGGGATATTTTGGCAAAGAGTCTGGCTGGAGTCTACCCTCGACCTAAAAGTTTGCTTGAGGCTAAGTTGAAAATCAATGGACTAATTTCTCTGGTGGAAGAAATTTCAAGACAGCCTAATGTAGAAATGGTGGTGTGGCTATTAATGGTGACTATTATACAGATTTACAGTGAAAAAGAAAATGGGGCAGAAAGAAATACTGTTTGAATTGAAAAAGAGCATTAGGAAGATAAATGTTGGAGCCCTGGCATGTGCTGGAGAGGATCCCTTTTATAAGGAGATTAAAGTGATTAAGGAGGGGGCCTAGATTTGTACTTAAACAATGGAGAGAGTGCCTCCAGGGCAAGACCACACCCAGCTAAGCCTCCAACTTGTGAAAGCAAAATGCTGCAGGAACCACTGAAGAGAAAAGCTTCTAAAATGGATAAAGCAGGCTGGAGTCCATCCCAAACTTGCAGTCAAACTTGGCATTGTCATTCACATGGTGCTGGCTTTAGAGGCATGAAAGTTGCAAAAGTGAAGGAGTCATCAGTTCTTCCTCCATTGTTTCACAGAGCGACTGAGGCCAAGCGGCATGCAGCAGGGGTGCTTCTGCCTAGAGAAGTCCCAGATAGGCCATTGCATGAAGCTGTGAAGGTGAAGCCTGGTTGGCAATGAAGACCCCAAGAAGACATTAGTGATGCCAGAGCTGTGAGGCATCTGAAAAGAAGACCTGTATACAGGGAGTGGTATCACCCCAAGAGAGAAATGTGTGTTGCACACAGCAAAGCTGGAGAGGCTGAGCCGTCTAAGCCCTTTGGAAGTAAAAGTCCCAGAAGTTGGATGTGGAGCTACTGGATTTGGTGTTTGCCCTGCTGGTTTTCGGTCTTGTTTTGGTCTGGTATTTCCTTTTTATGCCTCCATTCCTCTCTTTTGGGATGGTCATGTGTCGGTTCCACTGTATGTTGGGAGTATGTAATTTGGCTTACAGTTAAGATATTTACCCGAGTCTCAGAAGAGACTTTGGACTGTGGGCTTTTGAATAGTATTGAGACTGATAATGACTATGGGGACTTTTAAAGTTGAACTAAATGCATTTTGTATTTTATATGGTCATGAGCCTATTGGGGCCAGGAGTGGAATGTGGTGGTTTGAATGACAATGTCTCCCATAGGCTCTAAGTATTTGGATATTTTGTCCCTAGATGATGGTGCTATTTTGGGAGGTCTTAGAAGGTGTGGCTATCCTGGAGGAAGCATGCCACTGGGGTGGGCTTAGAGAGTTCTTAAGCCTTGCTGGATCTCCAGTTGCTCTCTTGTTTCCTGTGCCTGCTGGAAGATGTAGAGCTTAGCTTCTGCTCCTTCTCCAGCCACCTCTACCGCCATGCCTTCCTGCTGTGATGGACTGTAATTCCCCTGGAACCATAAGCTCAAATAAACTTCCTTCTATAAATTGCTTTGGTCAGTGTGTCTATCACAGCAACAGAAAAGTGACTAATACAAGCCCCTAGCAAGACTATTTTGTGGCCAATAAATTACCAGACGGGCATCGGTAACCTTGAGTAAAAGTTTAAGCATAGGAAGGAAGGAAGGAAGGAAGGAAGGAAGGGAGGGAGGGAGGGAGGGAGGGAGGGAGGAAAGGGAGATGGGGGGAAGGAAAGGAAGGAAACAGGTAGCCCAAAGTCCACTCCCTGACCCAATGTTAATGAAAGATCTCATGGCATCTCCTACTATGAGAAGAAGCTGAGGGACTGAAGAAGAATGACTGGATTCATTCATTCTTGGATTGAACCAGAAACAAAATTAGCTGGAGCTCCTGGAGAAGTGGGGATTCTAGATATCCAGTATTCACATAGCTATAGGCGAGGATTGCTACATACAATGCTCCAACATAGCATGGAGGGAACTACCACAGGACTGGTAAAGGGGATGGCTGCACCAGTCTGAACTTGTAGAATATTTGTTCAATCTTGGCTTCTAGAGCATTCTGCCAGGATAATCAGTATATAAGGAGAAGTCCAGAGATGCCTATGAAATGACTGTCTTCAACCCTCCTTTACTCCCATGTGAGACTGATAGATGACTTATCTGGTGAAAGACAGATAAATTTAGAAAAGGGAAGACTTGCTCCTAATAAGGGGTGGAATCCAGGAAGGCTACCAGGAAGTAACACTTAATACAAGAAGACTGGTGAAGAAGGCAAGGGCACACCAAGGAGAAGGAACAGCATAAAGGCTTAGAGGTAGGCATATGACAGAGTGTGTCCAGGATTCTAGAAATTCATTGTGAACCTGGGATGGACAGAGGGAAACAGGAGCAGTGGAAAGGCAGGCTAGGGCAGATCCTACAGTCCTGAATGCATTCTTGTAGCCACAACTCAGCTCCAAAGACATCCTTTTTCTTGAAGGTGTTCCTACCCTTTTCCTTACCAAGAGACATTGCCCATATGTTCATCCAGCTGTCCCAGCGCCTGTACCCTCAGCTCTCTGATGCATATGTCTTGGTCTGTAGGCCCTCTGTCTGTTCCTGAGGGTGCTCTCATTCCCCAACAGAGGATGCACTCATTCCCTCAGTCTCTCAGCTCTGCATTCTGGGGGTCCCTGCATGATATGCAGGAAGGATTTCCTTTTCTACTCACAACCTTCCAAACCCCTGCCTGTCCTTATCCCTTCTCAGGAAAGAGACAAGGAACATCTAGACATGGTCCAACTTGTTACTGGAGTGTAAACAACAACAATAACAACTTAGCCACAAGCTATTTGGCTCCTTACCACTCTACACCTCACCTTCTTCTTCCCTATGGGAGTTTCAGAATGCACTTGGGTACCTCCCCTGTCTTCCCTTCCTCCCTAATTCCTATGGTCCTATAAGGATTTGGGCCCCTCCATATTTTTTTGGGTACACCAAGAGAACTCTCTAAATGTGAGGCAAGGAAGCCCAGTCCTGTGCCTCCTGGAAACACTGAATCAGAAATGTTGAGATGGGAGTTGCTGCCCTGCTTACACCCAAGTGGAGGAAACTTGGTGGCTAACATGACTCCTGCTTCACTAAAAGTAGCTTGTGGGTTTCCTCTTCTCCCTCAATAAGGTGCCTGCCTCTTCATCTCTAGTCTTGCTTTTCTCACACGCATTTATGTCTGGCATCCCTGTATGGAAGGCTTTACATCATGGCTCGGGATCATTGCAAGCTCACAAGGAGTCACAGTGGAGGAGCACACTGCAGACACACTTAAAGGAGTCAGTCACATGGCAACAGGTCCACCTAGACTCAAGAACCTTCTTTCTGAGGCACATCCCTCCCCTGAGGTCTTGATGCTGTCCTTGCTTTGCCTCAGCAGTTGCCCTAGTTCCAGTGTCTCCAGTCTCTGTCCCCTGAGCTAGGGCAAAGGTCAGCAAACTACAGTCCACAGGCCAACTCCTGCATCTGCCTATCTTTGGGAACATAAAGTTCACAGGAAAACCACCACACTCACTTGTTCACATACTGCCCATGGCTGCTTTCTACAGCCATGACCTGTCGGAGCTGACAGATTGCAGTAGGGAACACGTGACTGGCAAAAGCCTGGTACATTCACTACCTGGCTCTTTACAACAGAAATTTTGCCATGCACCTATGCTGTAGGCAGTTTTAGACATTGATATCTGAGAAAAAAATCACTGGAACAAAAGAAAGATAATTGAGATGGACCTGGTATGGTACCTATACCTATAATCCCAGCACTATTGGGAAGCAGAGGCAAGAGGAGAGTTTGAGGTCAGCCTGGGGTACATAGTGAGTTCCAGGCCAGCCTGAGTTATATAGCAAGACCATATCTCAAAAGAAACAATGACAAACCCCTCCAGCTTCTTGGATGTTTTCCTCCCCTCACTTGTCCGCTTCCATTCTTGTGCCTTTTACTTTTTTCTTTCTTTTTTTTTTTTTTCTTTGTGTTTTTGAGACAGGGTCTCCCTGTAGCCCCCAGTTGGCCTAGAACTCACTATGTAAATCAGGCTGGCCTTCAACCCACAGAGCTCCACCTGCCTCTGCCTCCTGAGCACTGGGATTCAAGGCATACACCACCTCACCCGGCCTGCCTTTTTCTTTCTTAATATGCTGTTTCTATATCATGTCTAACTTAAAAAGCATGACTTTTTTTCTGTCTCCTGGCAGCAGCTGGGATTTTCACCTAAACTGTACTATATTTTTTCATAAACTAATAAAATTGTCCTTGAGCTTAAACGACAATAACCCCCCCCCCCAAAAAAAAAAAAACCAGGAAGGACAAAAAGGAAAGGAACAGGTGTTCTGCTTACTTTCTATTGTGATGAAACATTCTCACCAAAACCAGTTTAGGGAGGAAAAGGTTTATTTCAGGTTACAGCACAGTCCTTCTTGGAGGGAAATCAGGGCAGGAGCTCAAGCAGGAGCCTGGAGGCAGGAGCTGAAGCAGAGACCATGAAGGAACTGTGCTTTCTGACTTGCTTCAAGTGCTGAGCCTGCTTTTTTTTTTTTTTTTTTTTTTTTTGGGGGGTTTTTTTTTTTTTTTTTTTTTTTTTGAGAGAGGGTCTTCTTGTTAGCCCCAGCTGGCCTGGAACTCTCTATGAAGACCAGGCTGGGCTCTAACTCACAAGCAGATCCAGAGATCCGTCTGCCTCTACCTCCCCAGTGCTGTGCTGGGATTAAAGGTGAGCAACACCACGCCTGGCACTCAGCCTGCTTTCTTTTTTTTTTGAGACAGGGTCTCCCTGTAGCTCCAGCTGTCCTGGAACTCACTGTATACCAGGCTGGCCTTGAACTCAGAGATCTGCCTGCCTCTGCCTCCCAAGTGCATGGGCCACCACGCCCTGCTCAGCCTGCTTTCTTATACAACTTGGGACCACCTGCCCAGGAGTGGCACCACTCACAATAGGCTGGACCCTCCCACATCACTCAGCAATCAAAAAATTGCCTCACAGACATACCCACAAGCCAACTGATAAAGGAAATTCTCCAACCCAGCTTCCGCCTTCCCAGGTGTGGGAAGTTGACAAATGGAGCTATCCAGCACAGTGGGGGAAGGAGGAAGGAGAAAGCAGACAGGAAAGCAAGACAACAGGCCACTGAGATGACTCAGAACTAACAGAAGGACATAGCCCAGACTGTGCTACGTTTCAAATCTCCCCTCAACTTCTCCCGAAACTTTCCACGATACTAGTCTTTGCGCCCTAGCCCTTTGTGTCCTACTCATTTATTTTAACTTAAGTTAACATACTAATTGTGTATATTTATGTATACAACATGGTAATCACATGTTTACAATGAACAATGATCAGTTAAAGATAAATATGGGGCTGGAGAGATGCCTCAGCAGTTAAGAGCACTGACTACTCTTGCAGAGGACCTGGGTTTGATTCCCAGCACCCACATGGCAGCTACAAACTGTCCTTAACTCCAGTTCCAGGGGAATCCGAAGCCCCCTTCTGATCTCCATGGCATTGCACAACACCAGTGCCGACACCGAAGCCCTCACATACACACAGGCAATACACTCATACACATAAAAAATAGAAATTATAAATAAATTTTTTTTTTGGCTTTTTGAGACAGGGTCTCCCTATAGCCCCAGCTGTCCTGGAACTCACTATGCAGACCAGGCTGGCCTTGAACTCACAGAGATCCACCCGCCTCTGCCTCCCAAGTGCTGGGACTAAAGGCATGCACCACCACGCCCGGCATAAATAAAATATTTTTTGAAAAAGGATAATTAATATGTCTTCTACTCTTTCTCTAGTTCTTCATAAACTATATAAATTATCATGAACTGTAATTCCCTTACCATGTTGAGCAACATTAGGACTAGTTCCTCCTAGGTAGGTATACCTGTTATTCATTGATCCTGTATTTTTTTTTGTCTCCTCTCCTAATATGTATTCTCTAGTAACCACTATTCTACTCTCTTGTACTTTGAGACCAAATTTTTCAGCATCACATATAAAAGAGAATGTACATCTGTCCTTCTATGTCTGGCATGATTCATTCACCTATTCATTCACAAAGTTTTTTTATTACATTTAATTTGTGTGTGTGTGTGCGTGTGTGTGTTGTACATACATGTGCCACCATACGCATATGGAAGCCAGAAGACAACTTTCAGGAATCACTTCTCCACCATGTGGGTCCCAGGGATTAAACTCAGGTCATTAGGCATGGCAGCTGGCATCATTACCCAGTAAGTCATCTTGCCAGCCCACTCACCCATTTGTAAATCATGTGATCTGGCTTCTGATCTCAATTCCTGCTGAAATAGTTCCTTCTAAGACACCCACAGCTTTCCATGGCCACCTTACCTCCATCACACTTGACCTCTCTTTAGCATTTGTTGTTAACTGCTTCAATCTTAAACTATCCATGGTTATTGGGAGACTAGTCTCTCCTGAATTGCTTCCTCTCTCCAGCTACCACTCAGCTCCCTTCCTGCAGGTCCTCTTTCTTCTCTTGTGGCCTAAGTATACACATTCTGCAAGAATTTGTCTTTAGTTCTCTTATCCATCTTTTTTTTGTCTTTCTGAGACAGAGTCTCCCTGTAGCCCCAGCTGTCCTGGAACTCACTATGTAGACCAGGCTGGCCTCGAGCTCACAAAGATCTGCCTGCCTCTGCCTCCCAAGTGCTGGCATTAAAGGCATGCACCACCACGCCTGGCTTCCATCTATATTTTAACTGGTCAAGATCATCACGTACTTGATTTTTTAAAATTATTTATTTATTTATTTCTTATGAGTGTTTTTGCCTGTATGTACGTGAGCACACCACATTGTACAATGTCTATGAAGGCCAAGAAGGTGTTGGATCCCCTGGAACTGGAGTTATGGATAGTTGTTAGCTGACATGAGGGTGTTGGGAACTGAACCCAGGTCCTCTGCAAGAGCAGCCAGTGCTCTTAACTGCTGAGCCGTCTCTCCAGTCTCACATGCATGATTTTGACAGTCACTTTTGTCTGGTTTTTTTTTTGTGTGTGTGTGTGTGTCTTTTTGAGACAGGGTCTCCCTGTAGCCCCAGCTGTTCTGGAACTCACCATGTAGACCACACTGGCCTTGAACTCACAGAGATCCAACTGCCTCTGCCTCTCGAGTGCTGGGATTAAAGGTGTGCACCACCACGCCCGGCTTCAGATTTCTAACAGAAGACTTTGATTCCTCAGATCTGTATCTTAGCAGCCAAACAAATTCTCTTTGTCTAAGATCATCCCCATGTCTCTCTGTACCTCTGCCCTCACCTATCCCCTT